TACGCTTCCCAGATGTGGTGGTGTGATCGCGCCTATCTGCCTATCTTCTGTCCCTGTAGCGTGGCTAATGTTCCGTGTGACTGCAGCCTAGGACAGACTAACATGGCTACCCCTTTGTGATGCAGTGTATACACAAGGTTATAGGAACTATTACTGCATTACAGGACTGGGATGTTGGGGCACCAAGACGATAAAAGACTAGGTAACAGATATTCTGTTCTTTGTACAGAAAATGAAGGGCATGCAATCCCTTCATTGAGAAGTAAGACCTTGAGAAGTAAAACCTGATTCACTAGAAGATAGTTCAGGAAGGCATTTTAGAGCTGCAGCCTACCTAGTATATCCTTGGAAACAAAGGCATTGTCGTCAATGACAACTCATAAAAGGAATCCAAAGAGGATGTAGCAAAGTCACTGGGAGAAGAGACCCAAATCCACCTTTCTCAGCTCTGGAAGCTCTAATTTTGCTTTTTTAGATAACCCTAAGACAATCCTGCCTGGGCATGTGCCACTGCCCATAGGCAAGTGAAGGATTCGAAAATGCTACATTCTGTTTTCATGAGATAGTTGCTGACCCTGTAATGTGAACAGTGTTGTAAGGAATCATCAATCGATCTGCAGATGACACCTGAGGTGCCTGCCTTTCCCACCAAATTCTAGGACTGTAAACCTAGTGTCTGAGACTAGAGAAGGACTGGATGGAGCTGAAGAAACAAACTTAACCCAGGTAAGACAGACATGCTGTTAGCCAATCTTTCATCTAATCTAGGTATAGGGTTTCAACCGGGCTGCATTTCCCTTTTAAAGTCAGGGTGTATTCTCAGACCCTTCGCTGAATGTGGATGCTCAAATACCTCACGGAATTTCAAGGGGAGAGAGGGTCCAAATATATGCTAAATACACAAATATCCAGAACACTTTTGACAAGCAAAGGCCTGTATACCAGCTGTGATCTTTCCTGAAACAGACTAGCCTTGCTACATTCTGCAGTGGGTCCAAAATGCAGCAGCTGGTTATTGACTAGAGTTTACTGCCGAACTGAACTCCAATACAGTTGCTTGTTTCCCACCTTCATTTGTAATAGTGCTTTTGACCTTTAAAACCCTCAACTATCTGAGAAGAGGCTATCTAAATGACCATCTCCAACCATCTGTGTGAGCCCAACCCTTCAGATCACCATCTGGGGCACTCCTTTGCTGTCTGAGGTTTGGGGAGCTGGGATATGTGGCTAAAGCGTTCTCGGACCACGGCTGCAGAGCACTCTGCCTCTCTTTTTCAATGCCCCAAATAAGTAACGAAGACTTACTGGATTCCTACCTGGGCTGACCATGTATTTAGTTCTCGTCTGAGAATCTGATATATGGTGAACTGATATTGATTGATTTGATTTATTTAGTATTAGCTAGTTTTAAGGCAATTTGATGCCATTTTTAAAAGTCACCATTAGCCACTTCGGAAATCTTTATGAAAAGCAGGATATATTTTAATAAAATAAAGCCAACATACAAAGACACCCTTGGTCAGAGATGGTTCTAACAAGTGTAGCTTGTAGCATTACACCGCAAAACTGCAAACAGAACTCCAACGTATCTTATTCCCAAGGGAAACAAATGCAAACGGTGGAATCCTGATGCCTGGATTTAAGCATAACTACCTACCTTTCTGAGTGGTTTGCTTTCAGTTAGCTTTATTCACTACGGGCTGGATTAACAGGTTTCATTCTGCTAACCAAGGAACTTTCTGTGATGGACAGTAGAAAGTTCTGTCTTTGGACCAACCAGATTTAAAATGCTGGATTGAAGGAAAAAAACAAACCCTGAGGGGTTTAACTTTCCAACCGGAAAGGAAAAGTTGGGCTTTGGAGGGAAAGGGGACAGGATATCATAGAATGAGCAGGAAGTCCAACAAGGAGTATTGACACACATGGTCTGGATACTGTTCCTATAAATACAGTAAAGTGTTAATGCTTCTCTGGTTATCTATATATCTAATAGCCAAGTTGCCCCCTCTGTGCGGATATCTAAATCCGCACTTCGGGGGCACTTGGGGGGCAGGGGGAGGTTTGTGCACACGTGGGGCAGTTCCCACGTGTGCACAAAAATCTGAACCCCCCCCAAAAATATCGGGGAAATATTTAAATTTCCCCAAAACCGACAGAGCGTTTCCTGCGCATGCGCAGGAAACGCTCTGTCGGTTTTGGGGAAATTTAAATATTTCCCCGATATTTTTTGGGGGGGGTTCAGATTTTTGTGCACACGTGGGAACTGCCCCACGTGTGCACAAACCTCCCCCTGCCCCCCAAGTGCCCCCGAAGTGCGGATTTAGATATCCGCACAGAGGGGGCAACTTGGCTATTAGATATATAGATAACCAGAGAAGCATTAACACTTTACTGTATTTATAGGAACAGTATCCAGACCATGTGTGTCAATACTCCTTGTTGGACTTCCTGCTCATTCTATGATATCCTGTCCCCTTTCCCTCCAAAGCCCAACTTTTCCTTTCCGGTTGGAAAGTTAAACCCCTCAGGGTTTGTTTTTTTCCTTCAATCCAGCATTTTAAATCTGGTTGGTCCAAAGACAGAACTTTCTACTGTCCATCACAGAAAGTTCCTTGGTTAGCAGAATGAAACCTGTTAATCCAGCCCGTAGTGAATAAAGCTAACTGAAAGCAAACCACTCAGAAAGGTAGGTAGTTATGCTTAAATCCAGGCATCAGGATTCCACCGTTTGCATTTGTTTCCCTTGGGAATAAGATACGTTGGAGTTCTGTTTGCAGTTTTGCGGTGTAATGCTACAAGCTACCGCCAGCCGACCGGGCTGCCGCTGGCCGCCTTCTGCACCGCAGGTCTCGCCGCCTGGCCCCTTCTTCGTTCCCCTGGGGCGCCGGAGGGGGGGCAGCCTGCACGACCCGCGGGAACCCAGGGCAGAGGGGCTGGTCCGAAAGACAGCCTCCAGAAACTGCGGAGAAGACGCCGCCCCGGAAAGTTCGTTCACTCGAAGCGAAATAAAAAGGCGAGGCCATCTGGAGCAGCTCCAAACAACCCACGGGGGGAGGGAACCAGTGGGTCTGGGCACCTGCAGGGGAGCCTGGGGAGAAAGTGTGTGTGTGTGTGTGTTTGTGATATGAGATCTCCCCCCCCGCGAATATCGCGGGTCCCCCTCTTGTTTTTCCTAAGTCTGAGCTTCTTAGAAAACATCCCTTGTAACAACCAAGCGTCTAGTACTTCCCAGTTCTGGTAACTTCTGTCATCTATCATACAAGAAGAATATGCCCTCGAATCACAACTGACTAATGGTGACCCCGTCCACAGGTCATGTCAGACAAAGAGATGAAGAATGGTGGTTTGCCATTGCACTCTTCTGCATAGCAACCCCAGTCTTTCTTTGTGCTCTCCCATCCAAGTACTGACTGTGGCTAACCCAGATTCTGACAAGCCGAGGCTAAGCTGGGCTATTTGGGCTGCTATTGTACTGGAGAGGGAAGGAAGTGTCACTCTTGCAAAGTCAATGCACTTTTTAAAAAAACTGTTGACTCCAGTGTTCTCATCAACCCATTTAATCTAGGGGGAAAGGGTCCTGATTGGCATCGGCTCTGTCTCTGAAGGATTAAGCCAGGGGTGTCAAGCATATGGCCTGCAGGCTGGAATCAGCCCACTCATGGCTCTTATCCGGCTTGCAAGCAATTGGTCATTAAATTTATTGCCAGATGGAAGAGAGTGTGCATTATATCCCTGTATACTGTCCCCGTGTAAATGTGTGATGGGCAGTGAAAGTAGGAGGGCACGCATCAGGGAAGGAGCACTTTGAGTAAAAATAGTATTGTTTACTGGGTTTGCCTGTGTCCTTTATAAAGTTTATATCTACAGTACTTGGCATTACATTTTATGGCACACATGGCCCAGCCCAATGAAGTGACATTTATGTCAGATCCAGCCCTCCTAACAAATGAGTTCGACACCTCTGGATTAAGCAATCCCATTACAAAGGAAAACAAAAATAAAAGAAATCCACTCTGCCTCTCACTCCTAAAGTTGAACCTTTTAAAAGAAAAGCCAGTCGTGGACAACCCTTTTGCCAGACAGATTTCTTTTTTTAGGGTGGTTAGATATAAAGAGTGAAAGGCCTGGACTACGGATTGTGACACCCTCCTCCAGTACAAGGATCTTCTCCCTGATGCGAGACTCCTGTCCCACCAATGGAAGGATCTACTCTTATCAGGATGGAACCTTCATGCATCATGGACACCCGTACATCCCTGACACTATCAGTCAGGAGATTCACCTTAGAAGCAGTTTGGGGCTTAACTATCAGTTTCAGCAAGGAAGTGGCATGCAGCACTTTTGCAATTACCTCTCTAGTATCTGCAACAACAATGCGCCTTCCCCTGTATCCTGCACCCAGCCATACTGCATTCTTTGGGAATGAAATCATAAGAAAACAGAAAATGTCTACTATAGACAAAACACACACTCTCACCTTTACAAAAGCTTGCTTTTCCCCTCGCAAAGTGTAACAAAGTGCAACGACAACCTTTACAAAATATTTTGCTTTAAGAGAAAACCCCAAAGGAACACTGTTTAAAGATGAAGTTGAAGGTATGAGTTCTTTTAAAAAGTAACATAAAATGTCAATTCAAATAAGTCTGTTTAGACATTTCATGGCGTGATCTTCCCCTGGAGTCTAGTAAGAAACAATGTCTGGTGTACTTCAGTGGGGAAAGGTCAATAAGTTGGTAACAGTTAATTCGGTTTTCAGTTTTATTTCAGTGGAGTTATAGTCCAGAAAGTGGACAGTCTCCACATTCTAGTTCTTGAAAAGGACCACTTAATGGATAAAACATGGCAAAAAGGTCTGCTGGGATTCACTTGTCCCAGACTGGCTTCAGGGCTTGCCAATAACGGAGCGCCGTATACTCTCTCAGTTTCAAATGTCATGTGATTGCAGTGACACCAGGCTTTTGGATCTGTGTGAAAATTAAGAAAAATATTTGCATACTTACGGTTGCGGGGGCTGGGGTGGGCGGTGGGGCATAAGATGGCCTTTCTGTTTAAAAAGAGAGGGGAAAATGAATACCTGTGTAGAGGATATGGAATCTAGAAACTGCAAGGTGACATCAAAAAATATGAATGGATGAGGGAAAAAGGAAGGCGCACAACTGGAGAATGTGCCTCAAATGCTATATTATAAGAGAGTCCAATCTATGGCTTGGGAGTTTGTGAGAATTCAAGTAAGGGGAAAAAATGAATCAGCCCAAATACAAAAGCGAACTTATCACAACTGATCCCCCCCCTGGTTTTTACACACACACACCCCAGCTCTATAGCAAATGGTGGCTAATCCGGTCACTGAGGTGAGTACCCCTCCATTTTTCACATGGGAGGATCACTTGTTTAAAAGTGCTCTGACTTGGAATGCTTTCTTTCTGACATGTAAATGTTTCCTACAGAACATAATGCTCAGGTGGAGCTGTTTTCAAACTTTGCATGCAAAGCCTCTATCACCCGTCATGCAAGAAGACTGTACAGCACTTCGGCAGCAAAAGGAAATTCAGCCCTAAGTAAGCCACTGGGATAAAGCCAAGCACATGACTGACACAGTGGCAGTGCTGCCCTTTGTTTACATAAGGCAGTGCTATGACAACTGCACACTCTCCTTCCAAGACTTGGAGCATCTCAGGCTGGAAATTTAGGAAGAGTTAATGAGGAATGAAACACAATCTGTGCCATTTTATATGTGGGTAAGATAAATGAAAACAGGAAACTCCTCCTATTGAACTTACTTGACATTTTGGTAGATAAAAACGCTCAACCAGATGACGTTAAATCTGAAAAATAATAATACAACAGCATGAACCAAGTTCTCCCTCAATAGACAATACATCAGAACTTGTCACAATGGAGTCTACTGATCACACACATGGACAGAGATCACAACTGATATGTTTGACAGGCCCCACAAACAGAACCCCACTTTACCCCTTCACCCAAATTCCATACTGAACTTAAGCCCATGAAATTGAGCTGAGCACACATTCTTCCCACTTCTCATCCACTCCACCTTCCTCATCTCCCTTTGTTGCCTCCCCTCCATCTTGAATTTTAAACTGGAAACTCCTTGGGACAGAGGCTTGACTTCCTGTACTCTGCAATGGCCATCCATGGCACAATATAAACTTACGTATAAATAACTCAAAATTTCTAATATTAAACTAAACACTGGTAACAATTAAGTACACTGACCATTGTTTTAATACACCTGTTGTGGGAGAATACCCCTGATATTAATGTCCTGGCCCTTGTTTCTCAGGTGGAAAGCTTTCACCACTTGGGGCGTATATATATAGCTTTGGTCACAGAAAGGTTCTCCCATGCACTTCAAAAATAAAATAAAATCCAGCAGTCTGTAGAGAAAGCAGTAGGCCTGGAAATGCCTCAGCTAACAAGGCTGAGGCAGAGGCAATTACAGCCAATGTACTGGATCTCCACTATCATTCCTGGCATAAAGACAAATGAGCCTTTGAACAAAGTTATGAGTTGATTCAGTTATTCACAGAAACTACATGGTATAATGCTCTCACCAGAACCAAAACTCTCTTCCTGAGAGTAAGTCCTATTGGAAAAAAACACCCGAGTAAGATTTTAAGTAGACTTGTTCAGCATTGTTCTCAGAGAGTTAGCTGGTTTCACCAAAAATGATCATGGTTGCCTCCATGCTTGAGAGGAGACTGAACATAATGTGGGGGTCTCAGTTAATTGCTCTGAACATTCCACAATTAAGGACATATCAAATACTACACATATTTAGTTGTCATGCTCACCCATTCAAATCATTTGCAGTAGAATCATAAAACAAAAAACGACAAGCAGATGCTAGTGTGTATCATCAGAAACTTACAACAAAAGAATGGAAAACCAAATGCTGAAGAGCATTGTTGCTTTAAAATCATATTTTAAGTGTGCAGAAATTGATTCCCCCCCCCCCAATATGGGGGTAAAAAGCAAAGAAGATGGAGGCGATGATTAAAAAGTGATGAAAACGAAACTTAGGAGTCCTGCTTCCTTAGCTATTTCCCCCCTTCAATTATGTAGTCACTATGCAAGACGTGTATTCATTCTAAACCGGGGGGGAAATTGATTATGTTTGTTTACATAAATAACAAAATGGCGGGTCAGAATTTATTTTGTCGTACAAACAAACCAGAACCGCCCCCCGGGAGGGGCGCCAGAAAGATGTTAGGTGCGAAACCCCTCCCCCAACAACGATTGCCTGCGGCTGTTTCGCAGGAGGTGGCGAAACGGAAATGAAGCCGGGTGACTTCATGCGATGGACTAAAAGATGGGAGGCACCTCCGCCCTTCCAAGGACCAAAAAGGAAGAAAAGTCCAGCCCGGTCCGCAAACTCACCGGCTCCGAGGGGCCTGAGGCCTTCCTTCTTTGTCTCCAAACGGAGAGCGACGATGCAGTCAGGGACAAGGGAGGCACGGGAGGAAGAGAAAGGCACACGCGACTCCCGTTTCCTTTCCCGCACTTTCGACACAATTCTTTATTTCCTTTGCTTTTTTTTAAAGCGCCCTCTACTGGCCTCTTTCTCCCATAAACAAGTCCCCCATTTGGGTACAGATTTTCCCTTCCCCCTCTTCTCGTCTCTCCAATACTTTTTCCCTTTGTCCCAAAAGAGATCGTAGCGAAACTGCCGAGAAGGATTAAAACTGTCTTTTACCTTAAGAAGATGGAAAGGGGAGGGGGACCGAGCAGGTGCGAGCTAGGTCGCGTGGGGGCGGGATGACGTACCCCCGAAGAGGCGGTGCGCGTGAATGGAACAGGGCGGACGTCTTGGGAGGGGGAGGGGGAGGGGGAGCGTTTTGCATCATCTTGCGTGGTGAATTTAGCGCCTTTCCCCCTCTCCTCCTGTTGTCTGTTAAATTCCTGTCAGGCTACCTTCTCAGATCCTTGTCCATGATTTTGTTGTTGTTCAGTCGCACAGTCGAGTCCGACTCTTCGCGACCTCCTGGACCAGATCACGCCAGGCCTTCCCGTCTTCCGCCATCCTCTGAAGTTTGCTCAACTTCATGTTCGTTGCATCTATGACACTGTCTAACCATCTCATCCTTTGCCGTCCCCGTCTTCTTTGACCTTCAATCTTTCCCAGCATCCGGGTCTTCTTCTCCAGTGATTGCTCCCTTCTCATTGGGTGGCCAAAGTATTTGAGCTTCAGTTTCATTATCTGGCCTTCCAGGGAACAGTCAGGGTTGATTTCTTTTAGGATTGACTGATTTGATCTCCTTGCAGTCCAAGGAACTCTCAAGAGTCTTCTCCAGCACCATAGTTCAAAAGAATCTATTCTTCGGCGCTCGGCCTTCCTTATAGTCCAACTCTCGCAGCCATACATGACTACTGGGAATACCATTGCTTGGACCATGCGGACTTTTGTTGGCAGGGTGATGTCTCTACTTTTTATCATGCTGTTGAGGTTCGCCATCGCTTTCCTCCCAAGGAGCAGGAAAGACCTTGAAGGTTCCATATGCAACTGACATTCCAACTGCCTTGCGGGGAGGGGGGTGAGTTTGAGGTGTGGAATGCAGTGAAGTCCAATCAGCTTCCATATGCAAAAGACCTTGAAGGTTCCATATGCAACTGACATTCCAACTGCCTTGCGGGGAGGGGGGTGAGTTTGAGGTGTGGAATGCAGTGAAGTCCAATCAGCTTCCATATGCAAAAGACCTTGAAGGTTCCATATGCAACTGACATTCCAACTGCCTTGCGGGGAGGGGGGTGAGTTTGAGGTGTGGAATGCAGTGAAGTCCAATCAGCTTCCATATGCAAAAGACCTTGAAGGTTCCATATGCAACTGACATTCCAACTGCCTTGCGGGGAGGGGGGTGAGTTTGAGGTGTGGAATGCAGTGAAGTCCAATCAGCTTCCATATGCAAAAGACCTTGAAGGTTCCATATGCAACTGACATTCCAACTGCCTTGCGGGGAGGGGGGTGAGTTTGAGGTGTGGAATGCAGTGAAGTCCAATCAGCTTCCATATGCAAAAGACCTTGAAGGTTCCATATGCAACTGACATTCCAACTGCCTTGCGGGGAGGGGGGTGAGTTTGAGGTGTGGAATGCAGTGAAGTCCAATCAGCTTCCATATGCAAAAGACCTTGAAGGTTCCATATGCAACTGACATTCCAACTGCCTTGCGGGGAGGGGGGTGAGTTTGAGGTGTGGAATGCAGTGAAGTCCAATCAGCTTCCATATGCAAAAGACCTTGAAGGTTCCATATGCAACTGACATTCCAACTGCCTTGCGGGGAGGGGGGTGAGTTTGAGGTGTGGAATGCAGTGAAGTCCAATCAGCTTCCAAATGCAAAAGACCTTGAAACACTGGGCGGGACTGCACAAAGCAGCCAATCAACCCAGCCAGCGTCTTCTGACTGACAGTTCAAGCGTCCATACACTAAAGGAGTGCATTTTAGAACTTTGGCACCCACTATTCAATTATATATAAGGAGAGATAAGCAAGGTGACAATATACATCCTTGTCGTACTCCTTTTCCTATGCGAAACCAATCATTTGTTCCATTGTCCATGATACCCAGTGTTTTTAGTTTCTAAAAAGAGACCTCCTTCATTGACAAGCCCTTGCTGCTCCTGAAGAAGTGAGCAGTGACTTACAAAAGCTCCTGCCCTGCCACATACATTTTTAGTCTTTTAAGGTGCTACTGGAGTCTTGCTCTTTTCTACTGCTACAGACAGACTAACATGGCTACCCATCTTCATCTTGCTGCTCCCTGAAACGGTTGGGGAACTACGTAGTTGTGGGTCGGGAAACACTGTACACCTACTCAGAGTCATTCTATTCAGGAGTAGTATTAAGATGCTCTCCAGGGTTGGGGTTCGGCACTGAAGATGTCATGGGACTAAATGCTGAAGTGTCCTCCTGGTTCCGGTTAAAGCCTGAAGCAGCAGCCATTTTATGACATTTCTAAGCAGCATTTCTACAGCCGTTTGCACGATTCTAATGACTGACCCCATTCTTTAAAAGAAGAGAAAAACAAGCAAACCGCCACACATCCTTTATAAGAATGTGTAGATCTGGAAAACTGGGGACATGGTTCTGCCAGTAACCTACTTTGGTCCTGGTCACACGGGCCGGAAAAAGCGGGGGGGGGGGGGCTGTTTGCCCCAGAGCACAATAACGCGCGGCCGCCCGATCACAGGTCCCGTCGAGGTCCCGTGGTTAGGGGGTGAGGTGCCAATCACACGGCTATCCACCGCGGCAAAGAAGCGGCGTGGCACGATCACAGCAGCAATCGCTAGGCGCTGCTCCCATGGCAAACGTGTTCGTTTTACCACAGTTTGTGCGCATGCACCGTTGGGCGCTTTTGCGCATCCTGCGAAGACTTGGGGGGGGGGAAACCTTGTTTGCGAAGGAACATCGGCGGGCACCGGATGCTACGGGAGTCCACTGGAAACGCGATCAGACGCCCGCCCTTGCTCCGCGGTGTCCGGAAACCAGTACCTCCTAGGTACTATTTTTTTAGTTCGCATCTTCGGCGGGACGCCATGAGATAGCCACAGGAGTACTACGCTTCCCAGATGTTGCAGTATGATCACGCCCGGAAAATCATCCGTATCTTTAGCGCAGCAAATGCTCCATGTGACCGGGGTCTTTGTATTCTTAATTCTGTCTGTTTGCAGCTATCAGCACAATAGCACTGAAGTAAATATGAGTATCAAGAGGCTGCCTCAAATGTTTTTTCCCCCTGAAAGAACATGATACGTATTTTCACAAAGAAATGGAACATGGCATTTTCATAGGAAAATTGGTGCACTGTCCAAATGTTGGTTACAATGTACATCAGATTTTTCTTTTGCATTTACAGTTTTTGCATGCAGCACAAATAGCATGTGAGACCCTGCAAAACTTTTTTAGAGGATGAATTTTTTTTTTTGGGTTAACAAAATTTTTATTTTTTCATTCATTGAGAATTCATATAGCTAACACAATTAATAGTTTCCATTACATTTCATTCACCCTATTCCCAATACCTACCCCCTCCTCGGCTTCCCACAATGCTTTCCCCTTTTTATCTCTTTTTTCAGTATAACATTAAATATTCTCATTTTTCTTAACATTAAAATCTTTAGATAACAATCAGTTGGTTTAATATTGTTCTAAATACAGTAAACTTTGCTTCACATCCCAGTTCTTTTCCAAATATATTTTAAAGTCCTTCCATTCTTCCAAAAACTCTTTGTCTTCTCTGTTGTTTAATTTTCTTGTAATTTTATCCATCTCTGCCATGAACAGAACTTTTTGTATCCAGTCTTCTATCTCTGGCACTTTGTCTATTTTCCAATATTGTGCATAAATCATTCTTGCTGTTGTTATTAAGTACCAGAGTAGAGTCTTTTTTGTTACATTAACTTCTTCCATTTTAAGTCCCAAAAGCAGAATTTCTGGTGTCTTTTTAAAAGAGCATTTCAATATTTTTTGTATTTCATTGTGGATTTTCGTCCAAAAATCCACAGCCTTTTCGCATGTCCACCACATATGGTAAAATGAGCCCTCATGTTTCTTACATTTCCAACATTTACTAGACAAATTCTGGTTCATATTTGCTATTTTTTTTGGCGTCATGTACCATCTATACATCATTTTATAACAGTTCTCTCTAACATTGGTACAGGTCGAAATCTTAATCGAATTTTTCCACAAATACTCCCATACATCAATAGTCACTTCTTTGTTCATATTAATTGCCCATTTTATCATTTGTTCTTTAACCAT